GGACACAATTTGGTAAATTTTCCCGTTTTATTTTTTTCTTTACGATAATTTGAACCGGAGTTATGATTTTTTGAAAATAGGTCAAATTTGACCTTTGACCTTTCATAACTCGGTCAAAAATTAAGATACCTATTGATCTGCGGTTTGCGCCAAAATTCTTAGTTTTTTATGTTCTTTCGAATGATGTATCACAAGATAGGGGTTGCCATTTGAAAAAAAAAGTTGGGGGCCCCCCGCGCCCCCCCTGAGGGGGGACCAAAATTTTGACCCCCCCCCAAAAGATGGTCCCCTTTGAGATAGGAACATTCTCAGAGTTTCATTACCCTAGCTCAATTCGTTCAAAAGTTAGCAGGGGTGGGACGGCTTTTGGTACACCCTGTATATCAACTCCACACTAGACTTGAAAATTGTGTTATCAGGCTATTGTTGCCGTCTAGATCCATACTTCCTTAAAAGAATGTCTTAATGGTATGTCATCTCATATTTTCCTTAAATTATTATCACAAATGCATAAAATTCTCTCAATGTAAAATAGATGTTTGGTTCTCGCAAACAACAATCATTAACATATTTCGTCTTTGATGCTCAAACTGTGCTCACTATGTCTATCTGCTTCTACGAAGACCAAAATATAAAGTTTCTTTCACCGTATATTTTGTCTTTGATGCTCAAACTGTGCTCACTATGTCTATTTAATTCTACGAAGACCAAAATATAATTTTTCTTTCAGCCGCATCAGCAAATAATTATACAAGCCAATTCCAGTTTGTATCTAATCTCAATCTTCTTCGTCTACTAAGTCAAATTGTTCAGTAACAATCTTAAAGCATGCTAAGTAGTTCGGCTCCATACAACGGTATGTGGAGAATCAACTTCCACCAGAGTTAAGAAATTTCATGAAAGATTATAAAAAGAAATTTCATTTAACACGCAGAATTCAGGATTAAACCCTTGAAACTTATGAATCTCCTTAAGTTCATTTATATGCACGTGGTAAACTGTGAAAGGGAACTTTAGAAATGCCCAGAAAGTTGAGTAAAACAGCAAAAACATAATTTTGAATTTTTTTTCTTAAATTTTGGTTGAACACACAGCGCACAGCCGTACCGGTTGAACACCAAAATAAATTTTACGGATAAAAGACGTAGCTTTCATATTTGGAGCAAAACAAATTTCTTGACTGCAAAGAATCCGAGTACTAAGTACCCCCTAATAGTATATCCTTCTTTTTTTGTACAAAAGGGAGGGAGGGATCTTGAACTATCTTTGAAACAATTTAAATGATTTTTTCATTTGTCTCTGATTTTTTTCAGAAATTAACAGTTTGAAATTTGAGGTTAGGGTCCCCGGTCCCCCTCCCCTTGATGAGCCAGAACTGCCAGAAGAGAAAGAGTAAGAGAAGACCAGAGGAGAAAAGCTGAGAGAAGACCGCGCTACAACTGGTCTAATTGACGAATATTATTCTCTTTAAAAATAAAAACAAATTCTGTTAGAAAAAGTAAGCATTTTTGACATTTTGTCGGCCGAAAGAAATTTCATTCGATGAAATTTCTTTTAGCAACTCTGACTCCCACTGACTCACAATTTTTTAAAAATCAATTTTTTCAAAAAAAAAAAAAAAAAAAAAAGGGAACATGTTATGTTAAGTACTTCTATACATTGCCACCTGAGGCAGCACTGTCGCCTAGCTGTCCGGGGATGTCGGACTTGGCATCTCGCAATACAGTTTGTCATCACACCTGCATCCGTTGAGTATCTTGTGTCCAATCCTCTCATCCCTTCAGGGGATGACCCTAACAAAAACAACTATTTTAATGACCAAATGAAAAGAGCTCGCAACGATACTAGGAAAAAGTTGAAAATACTGCGGGAAGCTACCAATCTTGGTGATAAAAAAGCTACAAACGTACTTAATTTCTAAGCTGATCGTGGAGAATGACAAAATTTCTTTCGCTAACGATCCCAAAAAAATATGTATCACGCTTAACCATCATTTCTCCACGATCGGGGCTAAGACTGCAGCAAATTGTTCCACTTTCAGGAGGAAAAATGAATATTTCAAAGTACATGCAAAAAAATCACAGCCCTAACTCATTAATTTTTGACCTTGTAACAGAGACTGAAGTCAGCAGCTTTATACTCTCATTGAGGGGAGTTCTGCAACGGGCTTAGACAATCTGACAGTAGAAGTATTGAAAGAGATAGAGAAGCACATAACAAAACCTCTGGTGCATATTTTTAATGTAAGCTTAACTACAGGCATTTTTCCATCACGGTTAGAGAATCTAAAGTCATACCACTGTTTAAAAAAGGAAACAGTAAAGTTGTCTCAAACTATCGCCCTATCTCTCTTACATCAAACTTAGCCAAGCTATTAGAAAAAGCAGTGGAGAAAAGATTGTCAAGTTTCCTCGAAAAATATAAAATTTTATCAAACAATCAGTATGACTTCCGTCAGAATGTCAGTACCTACTCAGAACGCAGTTGCAGATCTGGTGACTGAAATTCCGCGGGAAATCGACAAAGGCAACAAGCCGGTGTTAATCCTGCTTGATATAGAAAAGGCATTTGATACTATTACGCACAATAAGTTGATAAATAAGCTAGAGGAAATGGGAGTGAGGGGAGTCCCTCTGAGATGGTTCCGAAGTTATATAAGTGACAGAAAGCAAATTTTTATGTTGGGTGATATCCTCAGTGAAGTGATGACCTATGAAGTAGGTCTTCCCATGGAACTGTCCTCTCTCCCTTACTCTTATTTATACAGGGTTATCTAACAGTCCCTGTAACTTTTCTCCTAATTGAGATAGAAGTTTGAAACTTTGGGAATGTTCCTCGGTTTAAGGTGGCAATTTTTTGGTCCCCCCAAAATTTTGGGAGGCGGCCTCCCTCCCCTAAGGGGGGCGGGGGCTAACTATTTATTTTCAAATGGCAACCCCCCTTTTGTAATACCTCATCATCCGAAAGATAATGAAAAAATAAAATTTTTGGCGCAAACTGCCGGTGAAAGTGTTAATTTTTGACAAAATGGCGGCCGGTCAAAGTTCAAAATGGCGGAAATTTGGCAACTCTGTTTTTTATCGGCGGATTGGTCTGAAACTTAGAATTTTAGGGTTCTTCTGGACGAAAAAAATGATTTTGGCATTAGTTTTCCAGAAATGTCAGTCCTTTTCAGAATAGCGGCGCTTAAAATGTCGGCTTAGAGCGGGATGTGGATATTTACGCTGCTTATCGTCGGATTTGTATGAGACTTGGTAACCGGGGGTATTTCGGTACGAGAAGAACGAATCTTTCATTGGAATATTTAAAAATTTTTAAAACTTTAAAATGGCGGCGAAAATATGACGGAAAATTCATATCACGACTGTTTACCGATGAATTTGCACAAAAGTCAATACTCTGGTGTTTTTTGGCTCGAAAAAAAATTAATCTTTCATTGCATTTTTGAAGCAATGACTATCGTCAAGATGGTGGCGGAAAAATAACGGAAAATCCGCTTTCACCATCGCCATTCGCATTTTTGCCGCCATTTTTAAGTTTTTAAAAATTTCAAAAATCCAACGAAGATCCGTTCATCTCGTACCGAAATTCCACCGGATACCGAGTCTCATACACATCCGACGATAAGCAGCTTGAATATCCACTTCCCGCTCTAAGCCGCCATTTTAACCGCCGCCATTTTGAAAAGGACTGACATTTCTGGAAAACTAATGCCAGAATCATTTTTTTCGTCCCGAAAAACCCTGGGATTCTAAGTTTCAGACCAATCCGCCGATAAAAAACGGAGATGCCAAATTTCCGCCATTTTGAACTTTGACCGGCCGCCATTTTGTCAAAAATCAACATTTTGACCTGCGGTTTGCGCCAAAAATTTTATTTTTTTATTATCTTTCGAATGAAGTATTACAAACAGGAGGTTGCCTTTTGAAGCCCCAGCCCCCCAAAATTTTGGGGGACCAAAAAGTTGCTACCTTAAACCAAGGAACATTCTCAAAGTTTCAAACTTCTATCTCAATCAAGAGAAAAGTTACAGGGGTAGTAGGTGACTTTTGGATAAGCCTGTATACGTAAGTGAGTTGTGTAACTTAAGGGTTCAAGGCAAAGTATTTTCGTTTGCGAATGACACGGCTCTATTAGTGTCAGCAGGAAGTTGGGAAGAGGCTCATAAAAAGGCATCAATGGAAATTTCAAAAATCTACCACTGGGTAGAAGATAATCTCTTGAAAATGAACGTTACCAAAACTAAAGACATCACTTTTTCAGCAAACAGCCTGGGCTAGCCTTGTGAAACATTAAGAATAATCATTCATAACAATATTAAAGTATTAGACCAATGTTTAGCTAATATTTGTTCCGAATTTGAAAATCTTGAAAAAGTTTCTGAGGCGAAATACCTTGGAGTTCACCTAAACCAGCATCTAAAGTGGGATGTACACATCAGAATGATTAACAACGAACTTAGTTCTCTCACTTATTTCTTCAAAAAAACTTCCAAATTTGCCTCTGCTCACTTTTTGAAGGTGGTGTGTTATGGATTAGTACAGTCTACCCTACAATACAGTGTTATTATAGTCTGGGGACTTGCTAATAAAACTCAACTGGAGCCACTATTCACAACTCAAAAATGTATCTTAAAAACCTGTTGAGGAAACCTAGACTTTACTCAACTGCCCTTTTATTGAAAGAATTAAATATTCTAAAAGTGGAGAATACATGGAAACTGGAAACTTTAATATACTTTTCCAATAATTTAAATTGCCTAATAGTTGAAACTCCAAAGAACCCCACAAGGGGAAAATTTAAATTGTTACTAAAACGAGAAAAATGTAAACTAGACTTAATATATAAGAATACCCTCAACTCTGGAATAAAAGAGTGTCATAAGTTGACGAAGAAAGTGAAATAACTGATTATTGATGCGGCGCCTTTCGCAAAAATAGCCCACCATTTGAAAGCGCATATGTTTAATAAACAATTTCTAGAAAATGAACAGTAGGGAAGTAAGGAAAAAGTTGAATTGCTGATTTAACAATTCAATTGTTAAATCTCGTGTCCGACTTGTTTCTAGTGTCCGTTTTGTAGTAGTGGAAATCTAATTTAACCATGACGGTTTTTTTTTTTTTTTTTTTTTTTTTTTTTTTTTTTTTTTTTTTTTTTTTTTTTTTTTTTNTTTTTTTTTTTTTTTTTTTTTTTTAGTGAAGTCTACTTTGAAACTTGTCGGACACTTGTTATGTTCTGACTACAAAATCAGCAGTTTCATCTTTTCCATGAGTAATAAGTGAGGGGGAAGTGGGTAAAAAATAATAAAAAGAACGGAAAAAGAGACAAAAAAGGGGGAATAATGAAACAAAATAAAATCAAACAAAGAGGCTCCCCCAGACACAATGGCCAAGTGCCATTAGTGGGTGTTTTATTTTCGTTTTTTTTTTTTTTAATTAGTTATAAAATGATTCAAATATTCTCTTACACTTAGGACGAAAGTACTTCACGTTTGAAGTTTTAATATGAATATCTGAAGATTCATCTCTCGATCATCGTTAAAAAATTGTAAATAAGCTTGTCTTTGACATTTCTGCTCCCGACCGTATCGCTAAAGTACTTCTGTTTCTTTTTTCGCCCGCCATTTTAGTAGGGTTTGGCTACTTACCAAAAATGAGGCAAATAGTGGCAAATCCTGATACAGTTTCGCGGCAATCAGAGGTCCGACTAGATGACTTTTTAAGAGTTTTAATTCGAAGAGGAAGAGTCCCCCCGGATCTCCCTTAGCCAAAGTTCTACATCCCCTGCGCCCCCTCCCCCCACATTAAATTCCTAGTTCCGCCCATGCCAATATATTAGCCAATGTTATAGGAATTGCACAGTTCCCATCGCGATGAAGACGTACCACGACAAGTAACAGTAAGAGGAGTCTATTTACCTGCTCGCGTAGCATGCTAACACCAGAACGGTAAGGACTAAGGAGAAAAATGCAACGACTCCATAAATTACAATTGAAAGCATTTCTGGAACAAATCATTTATAAAGATCAGTAAAACCCATCGCAAATAAAAGGCCCTTTTCCTCATCTCAACTGGTGCTCGTAGATACTGGGTGTTTCAGGACACCCGTCCACTATCTTCTTCTCGGAAACGGCCAAAAATTGAGCTTCGAGACGAAATTGTCTAATGAAAATCAACCCCAAAGAATTCGATGAAATTATATTCAGCCCTCCAAAACCCCATTTTTGGGGTTTTTTAGAGAAGTGCCCCCCGTTTCCCGCGTATTTCAAATAGGAGGGATATTTTTTGACTTTGCAATTAAATTCTACGGCCAAAGATAAGAACTTTTTGTATTGTGCCCTTCTTTCCTAAACCCCCACTTTTTGGAGTTATGCGGCATTTCGCGGCTCTTTTGAGACGAACAATTAAAGACTGTAGGCGTTAAAATTATACAATTTTCAAAATCTAAAAGTCTCTTCAGGAAAGAGGTCAATACCTTTTAATTGATGTGTCATATGATCCCTGCTGATCCAAAATTAGAGGGGACACGACCCACCTGGCTGCACGGCCTGATGTCCCAAATTACTTTAGAACTCCATTTCCCCAATATGGGCCCTGTATTTTTGGTGGAAAACCAATTTAGGGCAAATGGACCATGCGGCAACACGTGTTTTCCGCTTATTTTCGCGTTGAATCCAAATCTGAAGTGAAAACATGCCCTTGATATTTGAAATTTCCGACTTAAGGCTCTCCAAGGCCCCAAAATTTTCGGGGGGTCGTGGTCCCCCTAATTTTGGATCAGCAGGGGTCATATGACACATCAATTAAAAGATATTGACCTCTTCCCTGAAGAGACTTTTAGATTTTGAAAATTGTATAATTTTAACGCCTACAGTCTTTAATTGTTTGTCTCAAAAGAGCCGCGAAATGCCGCGTAACTCCAAAAAGTGGGGGTTTAGGAAAGAAGTGCACAGTACAAAAAGTTCTTATCTTTGGCCATAGAATTTAATTGCAAAGTCAAGAAACATCCCTCCTATTTGAAATACACGGGAAACGGGGGGCACTTCTCTAAAAAACCCCAAAAATGGGGTTTTGGAGGGCTGAAAATAATTTCATCGAATTCTTTGGGGTTGATTTTCATTAGACAATTTCGTCTCGAAGCTCAATTTTCGGCCGTTTTCGAGAAGAAGATAGTGGACGGGTGTCCTGAAACACCTGGTAAATCCTCGGACGAGCTGATTCGTTCATTGTTTCACTTGAATAATCTACTTTATTCAACATGAATGACCCTAATGGCTACTGGATGAGATCGACCGTACCATGTTTTGGAAGATCGTTAAACTTAAAGTTGGCTGTTTCCCTTGGCGGCATTAAAAAGTTTGTCTATCTTTTGTAATAAAGCGTAGAAATCTTTTTTTTTTTTTTTTTTTTTTTTTTTTTTTTTTGCTACTAAATAGCAACCCTGGTTAAGTAGATTAGCCTATTAAATCAGCATTGTAATATGCTGGCCCACCATGATATCAGTATGGTAACATATTAGTTGGGATAACCGGCATGACATTAGTATAGTACCTACCAGCATATATCATAAAGATATTAGCATTTAACCGTACTGGTATGATGGTGATATCATGCTGATTTGCTAATATCAAACTGATTTCACGCTAATTCACTGCTAAACTATTATCATGCTCATTCATTAATATCATACTGATATCAAGCTGATTACCTGATTTTATCCTGATACCATGCTGATATCACAATGATAATATACTGATATCATATAGTAGAATCGCTCAGTTTACATTATGAAATCATTCTAGTTGACTTTACCCTATGAGAAAAATAAACATACCAGGAAATTGTTGGCCGAAAGAAACAAGGAAGGAGGAGTGGGGGAATCTAGGGGTGTTGATCGGCAAGGATTTAGTACATTATCATAGAGGGGGAATCTAGGGGTGTTGATCGGCAAGGATTAAGTACATTATCATTAACAGGAATTCGTAATCCATTTTTTAATTTTGCCCCAAGATTACGTCACAAACTGACAAGAGTCAAAGTGTGCCTAGTTTTCATTCATCACCATTATGTTAAGGTTCTAGATCTCACCTCCAGAGTTACAATCGGGGTCGTTGCCCATAAAACCACAAGGAGGGACATCCGCTGGGGGGCCGTCTTTACCTCCAGGCCAGTGGATGCGCTTGCCAGGAACGGGGTTGTATTTTTTCGTCTCGCCATAGTGGTGCGCCACCACCTCAAATTGCCCCGTAATTGGATCCAGATCGAGCACGGAGTAGTCCGCGTCTCGGTCCCCATTATCATCTATGCGCACGTGGCCAGTGATACCTGAAAACACACAAGAGATGGATTTCGTCAAAGCACTTGAAGCAGAGAGAGAGAGAGATGAATGGAATCATCATCATCATCACATCTTCTTAATCTTCTTCTTTAATATATAATTCCGTAAGCCCTATCTTTTGCGTCAAAATTCAGCGCGAACCGCCGCGCCGCCGCGTCGACTCAAAGACCCAAAACCACAAAGATCCACCAACTGCAGCTTTGCCGAGGCCCACAGCCCCTCTGGCGAGCACTTTGAGCGCTCACATTCCTTTTTCATGATTACAAGCTTATTTCGAAAAAAGGCGCACACACACACACACACACCCTCACACACACACACACACACACACACACACACACATATATATATATATATATGTGTGTGTGTGTGTGTGTGTGTGTGTGTGTGTGTGTGTGTGTGTGTGTGTGTGTGTGTGTGTGTGTGTGTGTCCCTTCCACCCCCTCTAACTTTTTACCTAATTGAGCTAAAGATTTGAAACTTAGGGGATGTTCCAAGGTCAAAGGGAGCTACTTTTTGGGCCCCCTTGGGGTGGGGAGGACGGACCCCAACTTCTAATTTTCAAATGGGAAGACCCCCTTTGTGATAGCTTGTTTGAAAGAACATAAAAAAGAAAAGTTTTCGCGCAAACCCGAAGTCAATATCTAAAACCGTTTCAAAATGGCGGCCGGTTAAAGTTCAAAATGGCCGAAAACTCACACCGGTTATTTGTCAATGGATTTACGCGAAAATCGGTACTTAGTAGTATTCTGACACGAGAAAAACGAATTTGACGTTAGATTTTAAAAAAAACCGAAATTTCCAAAATGGCCGCCGGTTTCAGTTCAAAATGGTCGCAAATTGCCACCTCGGTTTTTAGCTGATTGATTTGCCTAAAACTTGGAATTTGAGGGTATTCTGGCATTAGATTAACACATTTGAACTTAGATTTCTAAAAAAAAAAAAAACAATTCTTGGTCATTTTGAACTTAAACCGGCGGCCATTTTGGAAATTTCGGTTTTTTTGAAAATCTGACGTCAAATTCGTTTTCCTCGTGTCAGAATACTACTAAGTACCGATTTTCGCGTAAATCCATTGACAAATAACCGGTGTGAGTTTTCGGCCATTTTGAACTTTAACCGGCCGCCATTTTGAAACGGTTTTAGATATTGACTTCGGGTTTGCGCGAAAACTTTTCTTTTTTATGTTCTTTCAAACAAGCTATCACAAAGGGGGTCTTCCCATTTGAAAATTAGAAGTTGGGGTCCGTCCTCCCCACCCCAAGGGGGCCCAAAAAGTAGCTCCTTTTGACCTTGGAACATCCCCTAAGTTTCAAATCTTTAGCTCAATTAGGTAAAAAGTTAAAGGGGGTGGAAGGGACTTTTGGATCACCCTGTATATGTATACAGGGTGTCTCACGAAAAACGAGCCACCTTGAATATCTGCCGAACGCGTCGGAATTTCGAAAAACGGTAAAAGACGTGTTCGTTCATATCGAGGGGGACACCTTTTGGCGTATTCGACATTTTCCCAAACCGCGAGAAGGGCGCGGGGCGGAGGGTGCCCCACCCGTAAGTCGAACTTTTCAAATGGCACCCCTACTTTTTTATTGCAGAAATCAATTTTTCGCAAAAAAAACAAGCCACCCTGTCAAAACCGAATGTAAATCGGACAATTTTTCAGTGATTGACAGAGTTTGAAACATTTTTTTCATGCTCTTTTCAAAAATTTCCCACGCCCAATGGAATTTCTGTATCAAACCAAACTCTCCGCCAAAAAAATTCTTAAACATTGCACTTTTGATAAAAAAAATCAAAAAAATCTGCTGCACCCGAAATCTGGAGCACGCGGAGCCCTTCTTTGCGACATTAAAATTCGTTATACCGAACATTTCCGAGGGGCGCTCATAGGGAGGGAGTAGTAAGTTTTAGACAAGAATTATTAATCTTTTTTCTGAAGCATAAGAAACCGTGTCCATGAAGAAGCAGTTAAGTAGAAAAACAACGCACCGCGGGAAAATAGCGTCCTCAGAAGTATCAAGGTCCAGCTCAAGTCATTGACCCCCCCCCCCCGAAAAAAAGCTAATCCATTTGTTTTTCTACTTAACTGCTTCTTTATGGACACGGTTTCTTATGCCTCAGAAAAAAGATTAATAATTCTTGTCTAAAACTGACTACTCCCTCCCGATGAGCGCTCCTCGGAAATGTTCGGTATTACGAATTTTAATGTCGCAAAGAAGGGCTCCGCGTGTTCTAGATTTCGGGTGCAGCAGATTTTTTTTATTTTTTTATCGAAAGTGCAATGTTTAAGAATTTTTTTGGCGGAGAGTTTGGTTTGATACAGCAATTCCATTGGGCGTGGGAAATTTTTGAAAAGAGCATGAAAAAAATGTTTCAAACTCTGTCAATCACTGAAAAATTGTCCGATTTACATTCGGTTTTGACAGGGTGGCTTGTTTTTTGCGAAAAATTGATTTCTGCAATAAAAAAGTAGGGGTACCATTTGAAAAGTTCGACTTACGGGTAGGGCATCCCCGCCCCGCGCCCCTCCCGCGGTTTGGGAAAATGT